GCATATAAATAGCAGATTGGTTTTAATTATAATAAATCCAAGATAATGCATGTGGGTTATCATAGTTTGAATTAGGAGTATCATTTGGATAGGAATAACCTTAACAGTGTTATGAAGGAAAGGGATCTTGGTGTAATAGTCTATCATCTCTAAAACCATGCAAGCAGTGTGCTGCTGTTAGTGGTAGGACAAATATGATCTTAGGTTGTATCTACAGAAATACTGAATACAAGTCTAAAAATGTTATAATTTCATTGTACAGGTCACTGGTTAGGCCACATTTGGAATATAGTGTTTATTCTTGGGCTCCTTACCTTAGGAAACACATTGAATTGTTGGAGAGGGTTCAGAGGAGGGTTACTAGAATGGTGCCTGGGATGGATGGGTTGTCATACAAGGAGAGGCTGAAATCACTCAAATTGTTTTCTCTTGAAAAAAGAAGAGTTAGGGGGGAATCTGACTGAGGTATTTAAGATTGTAAAGGGAATTAGTGCTGATGTATCATCTTTTTCATATTTAACAGTGAGAATAGTAGGACTAGGGGACACAAATATAAATTTTGGCAAAGAAGGAGTCATCTTCAGCTAAGACAGTTTCATTTTTCTAACATGGTGGTTGGCTTTTGGAATGGGTTGCCTTCAGTAAATTTAAGTGAGTTTAAGAAAAACCTGGCTTTAAGATTTTTTTAAATTATTTTAATTTAGTTTAGAGGATGGAATAGCCGAGATGGACCAAAGTGTCCCATGTTACCCCAAAACATTATGTTATGTTATTCTTTAATACTATTGGTAGTTTTGCTGACTGTAGAATGGTGACAGACCATTTGGCAGCCCTCACTCCTGCACTAAATTTATATGCCAAAATTATGATCTTTTGTAAAAAATATTGCAGGGTTTTATAACTAAATTCTGTTATTGTTCAAAGCAGTTCATTATAGATCTTTTAAAATGTAATATATTATTTAACTAATTATAAGATTTACCATTGCACTCAAATATAATAGATGCAAATAAACTGCCACTGTTAATGACAATAGCTATAGAAATTTGGTATTATCTCAGTTAAGAAAAACTGAGAAGTTACATTTCAAATATTAAAGAAATTAATTACATCAAAATATTTTAAATGATTATAACAGTAATAAAGTTATACTGTAACAATTCTTTTGTTCTACACTAACAATAATTCAAATGTTAATACCACGATTCTTAAAAAACAAATAAGGTATTTTATGACTTCCACAAATTAAACGGAATGTATTCATGAGTCAAAAATGGTGAACTCAGACCTTTATAAACAACACAACTGAACTTCAAATTTCTAACTCAACACTGATACAAGAAGTTAGGAAAAAGTACTAGAAAGAAAAACCTAACTTTGTTAATTATCACAAAACCTATTTAATCATACAACACTTTCACACTCTGATTAATAAGAATTTGTAAAACACAACACTTCTAAATTATAACCAAGTTTCAAGTAATATTCAATCTAAAACTCCATATTCTCGAGTATCTAAGTAGTAGTTTTCAGTTTTCTTTTATTTTCTACCAGATGATGAGATTATAGTTAAGAGTGGGATGATTATTGGCTACTGACAAATATCTGATTGACTTATCCATTTACAAAGAGTAAAAGACTGATTAAAATATGACCATAATTATCATAACAAAGCCTTCAATGCAACTGTCTCACTATAAGAATAATTTTACAATTAATTCTAACAGGATTTGAACTGGCATAATACATAAACAATCACAAGAAACAGGTCAACTAAACAACAGAGGAAAAGTTATATAGAATAAAAATATAATAATAATTAAATAATTTAAAAAATGAAGGAATACACCTCCCATTCCATCTGAAGAAGTGATAAATTTAATTACTTTGTACATACATCTCAACTTTCACATAAAGTATACCTTTTCATCCAAAACAACACTGAGTACACTATATGGTATTATATCATGATAACTTTGCAATAATCAGGTTATATGTACCCAAAGTTCTGGCTGTTCAGCTTACCAGAACAATAGCAGAAGTCAGTTACATATTTTTCTTTTACCATCATTATAATGAAATTTTTGGCTCTGATTCAGTGTAGCAGAATAATATTGAAGCAAAAGGTACATTGCTGTTATTGTTGTTTGTAATTAAGCACAAAGATACACAATAAGCTATCTGTGCTCTGCCCACCACAAGTATCGAAACCCAGTTTTTAGCATTGTAGGTCCGCACTAGGGGGCAGGTACATTGCACACTTTTCTCCTTGAAAATAGAGAGTCCTGTAAGACATCTTTAATCAATGTGATGATTTTGTTACAGCACTCTTTAACTCACATTTGGCTGAGTATCAGCAGCAACTGTTGTAGTATCCAGAGTTTCCCATCAGCTCAGACGATAACATGCTGGTTCATGAACAAATGTATAAATTTTTTAATTTGATACATGATATTTACTCTGTATAACATCACTTCTAAGATCTTTAAGTTCATAAATTAATGATGTTCTACATCTCACAATTTCATAAAGTTCCACTTAGAAGGTGAAGATTTAGCTTAAAACTTGTTTACAGCAACTGATACAGGATGATATTTTAACAAAACTGTATCACTTGCTAGAAATACTGCTAGCCATCTTCTGCAATTGTACTATTTCTGCAGTACATCCACCTTCTGCACTATGTTTTGTAGTTCTACTGTGTATTCATTGACAATCTCTCCCCTGGTCAGGTATTCAGTTAGACAATCTTAAGGCAAGATTATCTTAAATCACAAATGCAGCTTAGTTGGTGTAAAATGTGTCTTTTCTCAAATTGAAATTCTAATTCAACAAGAAAAGTTAAGTAAATAAACATCCCAAATTTTGTGATAGTTGTGAACATCTGCAGACATCCTTCTCCTCATGTTCTTGTTTACTCTGTTATATTTCACTGAGGTAGCAAATATATTCTTCTTATCCATTGTCTTGTATGTTTCTGTCATTAATTAAAAGATAAACATTGTCAAAAACTAGAACCTGGGAAAAACACATTTATAAAAGCACTGCTGTACAAGCTCTTTACAATGATTTGAGTGTTAATTTGCCTTAATGGGTACAGTTAAACCTATTTACTATAACAGTCGGCCACAACCAATAAATAAGTATTTCCAGCATTAGAACTTTAATATACATATCAACACTTACAATCTCATCAGGTTCAGTTGGGTTAGTACTCCATTAAACCTGCAGGTTTTATCATTTTTTTAACTATCATACTTTGTTGTCTGGAAAACATAAAAAGATTCAACATAATTTTTAGTATCTTTTTTTCATTCCAGGCTAACAGCCCCATTTTACTGTTTTATTTATTACTAAATGACCAGCAGTTGGTCATGTAATTTCAGCAAATACAAGATTTAATGTCTTAGAAATAACAAGTTTAAATTCATGATTATTTGCAACTCTTCTTGCTTAACATAACAAACATATGATCCCTTAAAATAAAGAACTGTGATTTGCCAATTTTTTTCTGCAACTAGTAGATGAATAGATAAATCTTCATTTTTCAAGGAAGTATATGTGTGTTTATAGTCACTGTCTCTTAAGTAATCTGCAGTTAATTGTTACCCATCTTTAACTTTTTCATTATGGCTAAGTCAAAGCGCACATGTCATGACATTTTTCAAAATTTAATCAAACAACTTTCTTATCAATGTATGTTAATAAACTTAGCATAAAACTGTCCAACCTCAAAGTTTTTTACCTTCAAACACAGGCTGCTGCAGTTCCCAACCAATTAGAGGCAAAAACTATACTTAATTACAAGCAACAATCTAAAATTTGCAACATTTACTTTCTTGATTTGCTGAAAGATCAATAAATTTATCAAACATTTCTGAGAAGCCCCTCTCCTCTTTCTCTTCCTTTTGAAATATTTTGCTAATCAACTTTACATATCTGGTAGACATGTTTATAACCAATGAAAAGAGTAGATACTCCTCTATATAAGCCTTACTTTCAGTTTTGGTAGGGAAATTATTCAGTCGGTAGAAATTTCTTTGTGTGATCATAATACTGCTGCTTTGAACAGCTAAGGGAATTTTTATAACATATTTAGAAAGCTAGATAAATTACAGTAGTTTTAGGATATTCTATTCTAGTGACTGATACATTTTTGTGTTCTAAAATGTATATTTGAAAGTTACTGCTGCTCCAAGCAGCTAAAGGAAGTTTTGTAAGTTGCTTATAACTTACTTAGAAAGCCAGATAATTTATAGTAGTTAGGGGATATTTCATTCTAGGTACTGATACAATTTTGTTCTAAAATTCATATTTGAAAGCTACATGAATTATTTTTTCAGATAACCAAGTTTGTGAGACTCAGTGAGGCTTAGTGAAGGGCAGCTTCAGCGTAAAATCTCTGAGTTATCACAAATCCTTGTTTTTTATGTATATTTTTTATTTATTGTTATATATTTTTAATATAAATAACTAATATGTAAAAGTTATAAGCTGCTTACTTAGTCTAACAACGTGTCAATAAAATAAAAAATCTACAATTTCACAAGTTCAAGGCAAATAAACATGTTTTAATGTACCATGATGTGCTGTTTATGTTACAGTGCCAAAGTCAGCTCCCACTGTGATGTATTGCTTTGTTGACACAAGGTTTACTGCTCTAGTTGGTACAAAGTACTGGAATAAAAAAAATGTGAAAAGATTAACTTTTAAAATAGATAATTTTGAATTTTTTTTTATCCAAACTGCAATCTGTTCAGAGGAAAGGATAGTATTACTCATTTTATTTGATATTTTTCAATTGTACGTTGTTGATTTTCTTCAAGTAAGTTGCTAGTTTTAGGGTAAAGAAAATAAGAGATGAAATATATAATTTTACTTAAAAAAACATTTGGTATGCATTTAAGTTACACAGCAGTGATGAATTCAGGGGGTGTACAGGGGGAATTTTTGCTGGTGTAAAAATATCACCCCTTGAAGTACACTATTTTCCATTTTGTCAAATTTTAATTCATTCCCCCAGTTTCACCCCCCCTGGTGGAAAGATCTGGATTCAATGTTGTTATACAGTTATGTGAGTGAAATATGAAAACTGCAAGGAAAAATAAATATTTTTATTATTAGCATGAAAATTCTTTTTCAGACTGACTCAGTAAAGGCTTTAAAAATTTAGACAAATCTTTAGTAGAAATACTACATTAAAAATCTTATTTTTTATGTAAAACAGATTTTAAAGTTTACTAAAACCTTGCAAAATTTCAAGAAGTTACACAGTAAATTCAGAGTGCTAATATGTATGGTTTCACAGCTTTAGAGATTGGTCCAGTGGCCCAAGTTGCTTGTCAAAAGTAATTGCTAATAATGGCTAAAAGATTAAGGGATAATTTACAAAAATCCAGTATTAGAATTTTTCAGATAGATCAACAGGCTGTTGTGAAAAAGCACAAGGTAACTGGTGATCATGTCTTTCCTATAGATCACTGAAAAAATAAAATTGCAATTTCAGAGACCAATGCATTAGCCTTCCAGCTAGACCTTGAAGCAGTCTTCAGCCATTATAGAGCAGCATATTTTGTGACAACCACATATTCTTTGCCTTCTAAGTACATTTAAAATATTTCCAAGGTCCAGAAAACTGCTGAACATTAGAATTCTGTTGTCATAAAGATCAACTCAGCTGAATTGAATGCTCTGTTTGCTTAAGCAATTACACGTTTCTAACACAGAACTGTACATAATCCAACTGTTGAAGAATCAGTATGGAGATAATAATATTCATCTCTTTGTGGAAGCTGTAATACTGCTTTAATTTCAGACAAGTGTCTTTAAACAATGTAATGTAATTACATTTTATTTATTTTTCTTCATAATTGATATAAAGGCTCAGAAACAGTGGAAACTCTTGGTACAAATTGATTATATCATCTTCACACTCCCAAGAAACTTCTCAGTTCTTTACAATTCTTTGGGGTTGGAAAATTTTCTTCAACTGTAATTTTGTTGGAGGTTTTGTGTATACCTTTATGAATTATTTTAAAACCCAAGTAAGATACATTGGATTTACAAAGTTCACTTTTACTAACCATGACAGTTCATTTTGGTTTATGAATTATATAAAACACAAGTGCAAGGCCTGTTAAATGTTGTTCAAAAGTGGATGAGCATAAACTATGTGATCTATGTATGTGTCACAACAAACCCCTTTTTTATTCTTTCTAGTAACTTACTCACAAGCCTAAATTTGAAAAGTAACGGAAACATTTTTTAATCAAAAAAGCATAACTTTAAAGTGGATGAGCATAAACTATGTGATCTATGTATGTGTCACAACAAACCCCTTTTTTATTCTTTCTAGTAACTTACTCACAAGCCTAAATTTGAAAAGTAACGGAAACATTTTTTAATCAAAAAAAAGCATAACTTTAAAGTGGTAAAGGCCGTATTTTGTTAGAAATGCAGCTTTCTGTCTATCTTCAGGTTTTACAAGAACTTGACAGTAACCAGATGCCATATCCAGGATCCTGATATACTTTCTTCTGCATTTGTCAATGCAATTAACAGGTTATTAATAACTGGTAATGGGAATTTGTCTGTTACTATCACTTTGCTTAATTTCCTGTACCACATAAAATCTGAATTCACAGTTTTATTTTTAATATGACTAATAGTGATACCCATGATGAATTTGATGGTTCAATTAAATTATCATTAACATGAATTTTCAAAACAACAAGGGTTGGGCCATCTAGGCCCATCATTTCCTCTAAACTAAACTTAAAAAACAAATTCAAAGTCAGCTCTTATCATTCAAATATTTATCAAAGCTTCCTTTTAATCTACTGCATCCACCACATCTGAAGGCAACCCATTCTAAAGGCCAACCACCCTGTTAGGAAAATAAAACTGTCTTAGTTTAAGATGATTTCTATCCTCCAAAATTTGTGTGTGTCCCATAGTCTTACCATTCTCAACAATCTTAAACACTTCAATCAGATCCCCTCTGACTCATCTTTTTTTAAGAGAGGACAATTTCAGAGATCCCAACCTGTTCTTGTATAACAATCTTTCCATGCCAGGTACTATTTTAGTAGCCCTCCTCTAAACCCTTTCCAATAATTAAAAAATAATTCAATGTCCTTCCTAAGGTAAGGAGCCCAAGACTGAAAGTATTCTAAATGTGGCTTAATGAATGATTTATAAAATGACATTATAACCTCTTTAGACATTTACTATGCAGTAACCTCTTCAAAGAATGTCAAAAGATTAGTAACTCACCAATTACTTATAAAATGGCATTATAACCTCTTTAGAATACCAAGATCCTTTTTTCTATAACACTTTTAAAGTTATTCTCATCATAATTATACTTATAATTCAAATTGTAATATTCCCACTTGTATTACCTTGCGAAGGTCAAAACACTGAGCCTGAGGTACTCCACTTGCAACATTAATCCAATTAGAATCAGTTCCATTTATAACAATTCTCTGCTTTCTTCCAACCAGACAATTTTCTATCCAATGAGCCAAGCGAACTCTCACACCTACAAAGATAACTTGTCAAAGGCTTTCTGAAAATCTACATACATTAAATACACATCTTTACGCACATCTGATAAGCAGTAATTTCTTCAAAGAATGTCAAAAGGTTAGTAAAGCACAATTTTCCCTAATGAAACCATACTGACTATCTAACCAAATTTTAAACTTTGTTAAATGACTTTGCAAAACATCTTTTATCAGATTTCATCCAAAAACGTTTCTTACCATTGATGCAAGACTAATAGGCCTATAATTACTTGAACAGTTTTTATCACCTCCATTGAAAAGGGTAGTAACATTAACCAACTTCCAATCTTCTGGCACCTGTCCACTCTTCAAGAACTTAAAGAAAAAATAGTAGCAAGTGGTTCATTTATTCAACTAACCTCCTTCAAAACCCTTGAGGAAACATTGTTTAAATCATCCTTAGTAAACATTGAAGAAAAAGTAGAATTCAATAATCTAGGCATTCTATAACCATTGGATATTAGTCTCCCTGTATCATCCCTAAAAGGACTTACTCCCATCCTAAAATTTTGTTTACCTATAATGTGTTTAAAAAAAATCCTTAAGTGTTAATTTTTATATTTTCAGCCAACTTTTTTTTTCATATTCACTTTTCGATTTGAAGGAAACATAGAAAGGAACAACTATTGGATTGTTCAATTATGATTAATGAAAACATTCTTAGCAAATGCTTCCCAGTAGTTACTTCTTTTTATTGTATAAAATCCAGCCTAAACAAAATCGTTATTGCAAGATTTTGCAAAAAATGAAGTGTATGTTGGATAACGCATGTTAATTCAGGATAAAAATATTCTTAAGACTTACAATTAGCCACTCCATTAGCAAGAAAAAGTTTTTCTTTTTGCCATTTCAATAATTGAACCTTTGAGCTTCTTTTATAGATTTCTAACCATATTTTTTGTCTATACATAACAGTCAGATCAAGTATCTATACATCAGATGAGACCCACAACACTTATTTTTACTGCAATGTTTGGAAAGTTTGTTTGTGTGTGTTTGTTAAATAAAACATGGGTTTAGGTCTTTGCAGTTTCAAAACTCTCACCTTTGATCCATTCTGTTACTTCCTTGACTGCATATTATTTTTGTCTGTATTTGTTTTTTACTCTTAACATTTCAATCACTCTGAAAATTATTATTTCCATATTGATATTAATATTGCTTCATCAATTTTAGAACATTGGCAATAGATCTAACATGATGCAACCTTAACTATCTTTTTTTATGATATATGTAATTGAGAAATAATACATTTCACCATTCAGTAGTGTAAGAGTTCCAAATTTTATATAAGGAAACTGTTTTCCAAATAAAAGTTTCAGCAGTTATATTTTTTTTTAGGTTTATACTTTTAACAAAATACTTCCTATCCTAATGTTATTTTATCAATTAAGCCAGGGTATAAATCACTTAAAAGCTTTATTCTATTTTATCCATGTTTCAAACTTATTGATTTCCACCACTTGGCAGAACTGCCAGCTATACAGACAGAGACTGTAACTATCAATCTAATTTCTGGAATCTGACACACATAATAAGAATAATCCTGTTCTGAACCAATGTTAAATTATTTTTCATCTACACTATATATTAATCCAAGTTTTAATCCCAAGTCGTTTATTAAAACTGTCATAAGTTCAATCGAATGGATACTCATAAGTCAGAAATGCTGGCTATGGACTCGTACAAATGACACAACTGAACATCAAACTCAACACCAGATTTTTTCATATGCTTCATTGGCTCTGTAAGGAAATATAAGCACAACACATTATATTATTATCTTTATAAAGTGTTATCATTAAAGTGATTTCAGAATTTTTTTTCAAAGTAAAATAATTTATTTCATACTAATTCATTTTTAATTCTACATCTTTTTTTACCTCTGTAATATGCCAATACAATAAAAGAAAATTTCTATGTGAAATATATAATTACAAAGAGTTTGGACTAACTTGAACCCTACTATCCAAAATTTATCTTCACTTGTTCAGATAAAGCGATTTCAAATGGTAATAATACTTGTTAATGTTGTAGAATATTTGCAAAATTTTTAATTCAAGCTATGAGAATATTTACAAAGAATCAATTTTCACACGTTTTTATCATTCCTAAGTAACATCATGGTGTTAAAACAGTTTATGTTATGTATTTATTTATCCATGCTGCATTCATTATGCATATGACATATATGACTGAAAGTGTACTTTCAGAGATTGAAACATCACACTTTTGCGTTCAACTTGAAGGTTATAAGAAGTGTTTAACAGTGTTTCCTCAGCATGTAAATTTGCCCAGTTTTAAGTGTCAGTGTTACCTTAATTCTGTGCCTCGTACAAGATGTTGATTGGCTTGGTAAACATGTAACATCTACACATACCAAGCTGTAGTGTATAAAAATTTAACTACCATGTTAAGTAAGAGCTGGTTAATAACTTACATAAAGTAACCTGTATAGGATAGCTGTTAATATACAGGCTTTATGATATAGTTTACAGTCTACTGGTACTTGATATCAATGTTAATGAGTTGGGTATAATATTTTAGTATTTGGTGATGTAGTACCCCTAGTGTTATTGTCTTCACCACTCAGCTTAATAACACTTGTCCAGTTTACATGAATTGACATTTGTGTTGTATGTTATGTATCAATAAATAGTTCCTGGGAATCCACAAAGTCACCTTATTGAGTCAAGCTAATCAAGGCTAATGTAGAAAATTTAGTGTTCAAATGGGGGGGGGGGGCATTCTCTGAACTGGGAGATTAGCGGTATTTTCCTCGGCCCCATAAATCAGAAACCCTAATTTTAATTAGTTGATTATTTTTGTGACAATTGCTTTGATCATAATTTTGATTAATTGGCTGTTGGAATAGCTAAAAAATTGCTTTAATTGTAATTCTGACTAATCAATTAGTTTATGTTAAATTGCACGGCTTTAGCCACCTCAATATCCTAAACATTTAATTTCTTTAGTATTGTTGAAGAGCAAAAATGAAATGTTAAA